CAGAAATGGCACTAATACTCGTTATTAATTTATTTTTACTCTTTTTTTTAAATGCCACCCATTTTTTGAATTGTAGCTTTTCCTCTTTCTTAGGCAAGGAGAAGTAATTTTCAACAGCTAAATGTATGCATATTAATAGCTTAATTACACAGAATTTAAACGAACATCTTTCAAAATTTCCTCCCTCCCACTCCAAAAAAAGAGCCTTAATGTCTACCTCAGGAGATGGTAAGACTTCCTCAAGATCAGCACCACCAGATAAAATCTGACCCAGTTTCATCTACTTTCATTGTTATACGTACATCAGCAAATTGGCTGATTGTTGTACTTCCCTTATTATTCCAAATATTTTCCTATTGCTAACACAGTTCAAAACAGAATATTTAAAAAATTATACAAATACAGATGTTACACAGTTTGAATGTTAAGTCTCTACCATAATAGCAGAACTATTTATGAAGTTTCAATTACCGTTTCTTATCAAAGGGACAATTTACAGCAGTTCTTATTTGGCCTTTATTTTTCAACACAAAAAGACTTCTCTTACAGATGCCTCAGAACAAACATTTGCAAAAATCACCTAAGTTTTATGTTTACTGACAGCTGCTTGTGACTTCTCAAGTTTTAAAGGCAGCAGTGTCTAACCGATGTGGAATAACTTCTATTTTGTACGTAGGAATGTACCTCCAAAATGTGTTTTTACCCTCTGTATATGCAGATAGAGCGAACACACACACACGAAGCTGGCTGCTCCACAGCGAACTGTGTCGTTGCTGTAGCGGAGCATGTCTGTCTGTGTACATACTCCAGAAGAATACCGAGTGCAGTCACAAACTGCTCAAAACTGCACAGCTCAATCCCACTTTACCAGGATGAAAAAGATCCATTGGTTTAGACTATGTTGTACGTATTGAAGAGGGGGGGGGGGGGAACAGGTCCAATATTTAAAACAATGATTGCAAAAGGCACATTAGAAAACTGTCATTACACAGTTCACTACAAGGTATCCCTTCCACCTCAGACTAAACAATGATACATCTTTGCCAGAAACTTTGCATGAAAAAGTCCAAAGCATCATTTGTCACCACTCTTACCAGAACCTCACTTGCACACTCTAAGAATCGCTTTTCAGCACTACAAAAAACCCCTTTTATTATCCCTACTTTAAAAATACAAATGCTATATCCGCGGTTTAATATAAAAATTAATCGGAGTTGAAGCATGTGCATTGTATCTATAATTCTGATTCGTTTGTAATCTGTTGAATTAGGCAAGTGTATTAGAAATGTAATTCCAGCTATTACAATGCCTTACATTTATTGAGAAACTGAGATTATTGTATTCTACAGGCAGTCATTTGAGTCCTTCTGCTGCTGTTTTTAAATGATTTCCATCATATCTTCTAATTTAGTAACCTCAAATTGTTTTTTAATAGATATCTTTTGTTCACTCTTCTACAGTGCAATTGTTCAAGTAATGTATCATCACCAGCTGTTTGTTAACACTTCCTTTCAAAATTATTAAAAAATATATTTTTAGCATTTCACTTTCGACAAATAATTTCAAACGATTTTGAGTATAAATCTGTAGTTGATGACATTGCTAATTATCTTAGATTTCCAGCAGTTTCTCACCATCGTGACATTGCCCCGTTTGAATGCAGTTGTGTTATGCTATAGCCCAAGCTGGCTATAAAATTATTTGTTCTGATTCTAAAACTTCTGTGGTAACACTAGCACGAAAGTTATGGTGAGACCAGCTAGCTTAAAATCCGGCCTAATGTTTCTGCTCCCCAAACTGCCAGGCTTCTCTCTGCTACTATGAATGTCCCTTCACTCCAAGGATTACGTTTATGGGACATTCATTTTTAAATGCTTCACTTAATAAAATTATTCTGAGGTGATATTAAACACAATTTCATTAAATAAATAGTAAGCTTCATTTGCTTAATCTTGTGTTAACAACAACTTCCACCTTTGAAGATAAACAGCCAAATTAGTCAAAAGGCTACATGTATCAAACAATACTGCTTACACAGTTTGCTTTCTAAAAACGAGGAATATTCTTGCACTGTGCAAACTATTTTTGGCCTGTTGCAAAATACGCTCAGGAACTGTAGCAATATCTTGATTACAGCTGTGAACAGAAATGAAGAACACTGACTTGACCAGAAGTGTTTTAATTCGCGAGATTTGGAGCACTCATTATATCTGGCCTATAAAATTGCTTTCAGTATAGCAATCGTTAGGCTTCCTAAGATAACGTGTAAATGATTTACATTACTCTAATGTGCACTAGATAGCCCTCTGCTAGCGTATCCTGTCTCCACCTTGTTCACATTTCCCAAATGAAAGTGCAAACCCAATAGCACTGCTTTTGCTTAATTGTTAACTATGAAGGGTTTCACTCTATTAATTAAAATATGTTTTAATAAAAGGAAACATAGCACATTTTGGTAACAGCCTTCTAAGGCTGAAAAGTATTTATGTTGTTGCATTTTAGGGCTGCTGTGAAAGCCGATTTTGTGCTATTCAGGGACCACAATAATAACGCTTTAAAATTCCTCACTGGGATGCAATGTAGTCCTTTTGATGGAAAGACTGTCTTTCTCATTCGGCAGAAATAAATCCATTCATTTGATCATGTAGTCATTGAGGGCAATACAAAACAAACCAAGTGTGAGAAATTCTATGTGATGAAGTAAACAAAACAAAACCCCCCAAAAAAGGGGGAAAAAAAAAAACATTTCCATGACAAAAAGATTCTTTGTCCTTAATCTACCCACCATATGCAAGCGTTTCTTTTTAGCATATCTCTTGTTCTAATCTCGGGTGACATGGCTACATAGATAAGATTCACAAAACAAAACAAAACCCTAGTTTAACAATTTTTTTCAATTTATTAACTCGCCAGGAGTGTCATAATGAAGTAGTGGGGTTTTATTTTTCTGTACTGAAATGGATTCAGAGCATGTAAAAGTTTATAATGCTAGTGATGAATTCTTAGACCTAGAACCCCCCCCAACAGAGACTGGGCTCAACAAATCTTGTTTACAGAATAAAATACTAATTCTCATCTGCTTGCCTATATTAATTTATTTTACACAACCACAGTTTCCTAAGGAAAAAAAATTAAATTTTGAAAACGCACTGCTTTGCTCCTCCGCTGTGACAGAAGGAAGCATTTCTCCGCGTGTCTGTTATTGTCAACACCCAAGTGGGTTTTCCTGGAGAAGTGGCAGTAGCCCCCTTAGCAGACCTGGACAGTGTGGGACTCACTCCCTGGCTCCCCAAATACCCTGGGAAGGAGCAGGAGGCTTAACGATTTGCCAGTCTGACAGATGTTTTAACCTGATGAAGTGGATTCATGCTGCCTTAAGCTTCAGGGCTGTAAAGTTGAGATACAATAGTCAAAATCCTCCTCAGGCTTCAACTTTGCCGCCTTTCTCTCCCCACAAATGCAACTAAAAGTCATTATAGTTTTGAAGCAGGAGAATGACTTTTTTTCTTTTCGAAGGGAGGGACGGGGGGGATAAAACAGTGGAGCGAGGGGCCTACACAGAAAGCAGAAAACACTGGGGCTCCCACTTGGTTACGCGAGAAACTAAGAAAGCAGTGGGCTCTATGCAAAGAGGAAAAGAAAAACTTTCAAGTGGAAGCTCTCAACTTAGCTCAGGAAAAGTGAGTATGGGCTGTGGCATGCCTATGCTGCAATGCCAAGGACTACTAAGGAAATTAAAACC